AAGGCCAGGAGCCCCTAGTAGCGTCCTTGCTCCTAGTAGTAAGGCCAGGAGCCTCTAGTAGCGTCCTTGCTCCTAGTAGTAAGGCCAGGAGCCCCTTGCTCCTAGTAGTAGGGCCAGGAGCCCCTAGAAGCTTCTTGCTCCGAGTACCAGGAGCCCCTAGTAACTTCTTCTTTCTAGCAGGCAAGAATGCTATACTAGTAGTAATGCCCTTTGTGACCCTTGCTCCTAGTAGCATCCTTGTTCCTAGTAGTATGGCCAGGAGCGCCCCTAGTAGCGTCCTTGCTCCTAGTAGCGATGCCCTTTGTTCCTAGTAGCTTCTTGTTCCTAGACATTGTATATACAATGGCCTGGGCGCCATCGCTACTAGGTTGGAGGCCATCGCTACTAGGTATATAGTAAGTATGTACAGTAGATACAGCTTTTGCTCACCCTCTCGTCTTGCTCTCGCCTTGCTCTCGCCTTGCTCGCGCCTTGCTCGTGCCTTGCTCGTGCCTTTTCTTTCAAGTCTTTCAACAAAATGGTGTTTGAAGTAAAGCCCTGTGGCCTTTGGTTCCAAGCCCCACAGCGGCCACGATCGACGAAGAATGAGAGGTGTCGGCCAGCCAATCACCCTGAGCATTTCATGGGCAGCTCCACGTCATTGCTCAACAAAATCCAGGTCAGGTCCTGGTGGTATATTACATGATATTACGCTCCGCTGCATCCTTTTCGGACACCAACTGGAATCAACCTCCGCCCACCTGTCGGCCCCTGCTGTCTTCGCCAGGGCACAAAGAGGCCTCAGCCACGCACTTGGCCTCAGTCCAAGAGCTCGAGCGGCGCAGCCGGGCCCATCAGTCGAGGAGGCTGGGGAAATGAAGTGCCCGGGTTGAGGATCGCAGCGTCTTCTGAAAAAAGAATTGAATTTGGCCCTTCCATCTTCCAACTTCCAACACAGTTTTTGTTGGCTTGAGATTTTTATCTGACCAAGACAGGGTAGTCCAACCCCGTTCGATCGGTAAATCTGAACCAGAATCTGGATCAGTGATGACATCTCTCACACCTGAAGCATGTTGCACATCGCAAATGCTTTGGGTGCCTTTTTGCAGGAAACCTCAAGCTCAGAATAGAACGCTGCCGATCACTGGAATCAACAAAGCTAAACCTGCTTATGATTGGAATTCCTAGGTGCTAGGCCCTCCACTCACCACTGCATTTCAGTCGTTGTGTGGTCAGAAAGCATTTCACCAGCCCATTTATATATATATATATATATAGAATCCCAGCTGGTAGACTTGGAACCTAGAATCGAACTCAAATGACTCAAATGATCGCACTAGGCTCGTTCCCTCGCTAAACCCAAAACGGACCCCTCACCGGTTGACTCGTTCACCCCACGGAGCGGCTCCTCGTCGGGTCCCGGGCGGAGCGGCTCCTCTGCGGCCGGAAGGTCCCCGCGAAGAGCGTGGCCTGGCGCGTCTGCGAGAGGAGCACTGGACTATCACTGGACTGTTCGGATGAGGAAAAGAAATGTCACCCTCTGAGCATTGGCACAAAAAGAATCAAGACGTGAAGTGACACCTAGCGTTGTCCAAAGGAATCCTTGAGACAGAGTCTTCCGTGGTTCCTTTGGGTGTGCAGCAACCTCGCAGCACAATCCCCAGCGGTCAGTGTGTGTGTGTATGTGTGTGTGTGTGTGTCAGAACGCTGAGAAGCGATCCTTCAGCAACTATCCAAACATCTCTGCGTTGTCTTTTGAGTGGCCTCATGCTACACATTTCCGAAATTGTTCATGGTTGGGTGGTGATAAAAATTGTGCACTTTGCCACACAGGCCTTCTTTTTCTTCAGGTTCCGACCCTTGAACCACCTGGTCACTTCTGGCAAAACGTGCTGCGCCTTCTTCTGCCCGAAGGGGTCTGAGCGATCCTGAGATGGAGCGATCCGGGGCACAGCTTGGAGTCTTGGCTCATGAGTTGTTTGTTCTTGGTGACTTGAAAGCTATAGCCAGCCATAGCAAGAATTTCTCGGTTGGATTCAAAAGCAAAAGCCACGCAGGGGGGAGAAAAGCCAAATGGCCAATTGACCTTTGAGCATGCCCAAGCCAGCGCGCACTTAGATAGTCATCCTGCTTAGTAGATTTTGTCGGGGCGAAGCCCGGCTACTGGCTGGCAGGCCTGTATGCAAATGTAAATGCGTAATAGTTGAGTACACTAGAGAGAGAGAGAGAGAGCGAGAGCGAGAGAGAGAGCGAGAGCGAGAGCGAGAGCGAGAGGGGAGATTTGCTTACATGGTTTCTGAAAAGTCGGGACACCAACAGCAAAGTGTCTCGTGGACCTCACCGATCCCCGTCCCATCTAACTTCACCGATCCCGCACCAACAAAAGAAAGCTCCAGCAAAAGCCTAAAGGGCCGAGAATCCCTGTACTCATCTGGACTCTTGGCCCTGGAGCCGCTATACAGCATCGAACGCCACTAAACCTGCTCAACATCCGAGAGCAACCGGCGGCCGTTGCACCGGACAAAATCTGTTCTGTACAATGTCTCACCCTCCCCTGGACACTTGACATACGTTCTCATGAAAGTGGCCTCCTTCCAGCGGGACACCGTATCCGCATGGATGTCGTGGCCACACAGTGCGTACTGACGTGAGTAGGTCGTCGTGCGGGTCACGATGCATGCCCCTGGACTCGGATTGCCAATGGTCGGCCCACCCATCCTCTGCACAGCCTTGCCCTCATTCTCCACAGCGAGATCGTGTCCGAGGTCTTCGCTTCCACGGCTTGCATTGGCCGAGTGGTCCGCCGTCACAATGGAGTGCTCCTGCACTGTTGGCACTGATGCGTTGTCCGGCACTGCGGCAACGAACACAAGCATGGCACCAAAGGCAGCGAGCTTGGAGAGCATGATGTGACCAGGGTAGTGCACTGAAGTGCAGAAATTGGGTGAGAACAAAGTTCTTGGAACAGCCTTGAGCCAAAACGACTACGCTTGAACTCACAGGGTACAACTCAGATACCCTGATGCAAACCAGTCATCCAAGCAAAGCGAACTCCCCTTGCTTGCTACCCGCAGCTTTGTTGAAGGATGAATTGAATTCCTTCAGTTGAACAAACTGAGAGGAAATTAGACCATACTACCATATACTACCATTAGATACCATTAGCAGTAGCACAACCCAACTGTGCCTTTCGACCGAGGCACGAAGCCCACCAAACCCAGCTGCTCCATGGCGAACCGGGCCGCGCGTGGCCCGGTGAAGCCGCCTTCGTGGCGGCTCAAGTTGGCGACTGGTTCGAACAGCAAGTGATGCGACGGGAGAAAACGACCACTCGAACATTTCTGAGTTGCTCTAGGTAAATGCTAGCTGCTAGCTCAGCATAGCTCAGCTATCTGAGTGGATGACTTATTGGTTGAGAGCTCAGAACTTGGGCGGTAACATCGGTACTTGGTGGGCTCCTTCACTCTTGCTCTCGAATGGTCTATGGATGTTTTGCTGATGGTCTGCTGGCTGCATCCGGCTCCATCGCAGCTCGAGCCAGACGGAGAGCAGCAGCTCTCGGGGCTTCGCCGATGGGAGTTGATCGGCCACTTGGGTGGGGGCCTGGATGTGGGCAAAAACTGACCAGAATCAAAGCCTGATAGGAGGGATGCATCTTTCTTGAAAAAGAAGAAAACAACACCTGAGAAGTTGGCTTAGCAATGCTTAGCATAATTTCATCAACCACTTGTGCAACCACTGAGATGTCAAGCGATCATGACTCCAAACATCATCCCCCGTTCGGCGGCTGCACAATGGTTCTTGAGTTCGTGAATAAACGAGATTGTCGCGGATCCTATATCAATGTAGCTCACACCAGCTGATTTGGAGTCTTCCCACACGCCTCATATAAGCCTGTGAATGCCAGCAGTTCTTTTCAATACAGAGGGCTCCTGCATCTTGCGGAGCAGGTCCAAACCGATGGCAGGGCTGCATTCTGCAGTGGCCGGAGGTTCTCAAACCTGTCAGGTGTGAAGATCGAGGCAGAGCTATCTTTTCGCCGGTGGATCTGTGCTGAATGGTCAAACATTTCTATCTGTATAAAACACTTGATTAGCCAACCGTCAACAGTGGCTGGGAGAAACGACAAACCGCTCAAACTTGGGTAGTCAAGGCTCCAAGCCAAAATCGGGGTGAACATGGTGAACACGGGGAACACTCAAGAAGTCATTCCATTTGAGAATTTCAAGAAAAGAAACAAAAGACTGACTCCCCAACCTCTGAACTCATTCGTTCAAAATTGGGCTCTCAAAACTACCACCGTATGACATGTTGCACTCCCCCTATCATCCGCTCAAAGTACCAATGCTCGAAACACGATCATTCCAAGGCCAGGTGGTCTTTGCTGTGGTGTAGGTCTTCCAAGCACGGGATTCTCACCATGGTTCCTTCTATCAGCCTTAAAATCAATGGTCCGGTCAGAACAAGCAATTTATCCATACCACAAAACTTTTATTATATACACATTTCTATGTATAGATATAGACTAGATATGAACCCTTTGAAGGCGGTTTGTGAACCATCGCGTTTGTTATTTTGTTCGGCCCCTCACGAAGCGAACCGGCCAAGGTTCCCTGACTGAAGGAGTCTCTTCAAAAGAGACCGCCTGGGCAGATGACCAAGAGGAACCCACCGAAATGGCCAAACACAAATGTCTTGTCATGTCTTGTCTATGGTTTGAACCTCTTAGCTTTAAAGTCTTCACCGCACAAGGAACCTGAACTTTGCTGTTGCAAAACGGCAAAGGAAACAAAACGCAAACCATCCCCAGCTTTGCCCACTGCTCGATCTCAGCGTCTTTCTTTGAGGAAATCCTATGAAATCCTCATCTTACCTATTTGATCCCATTTGTCAGTGGGCGGCCATCAATTGAGAGTGGAAAGGCTTTTCCCAGCCAATCACCAACCAGGCGGCCTCAGGGCTCGAGAAGAAGCTCTGGAGGCCCTTCTCGTCTAGGAATTCGGTCCTTGGTGAATTTGGAACACTCGGAACTCATGACACGACCTTGAAAAACCGTTCCAGAATGGCACATCCACCAGACTGGCAGGCCTTCGATCCGGAAACTGGGAACGGCTCCGGTCAAACGTCATTCTCAGCATTTTGCTTCAGCGGGCGAGAGGAGATTCCTCACAAAGAAGGGCTGCAGCAAATAAATCGGCTCGCTGCCGGAGGCATCTGATGATGGGCTTCACCTGTTACCAGATCCCACCACCAAGTGGCACCTGCAGGGGTTGGTTCCGTGTCCCTACTCACTATAACAATGACTAGCTAGAGGCCAAAGCTTTTCCAAAATCTTGAACTAGGCGATGCCGGAGCAGGTTGCCCCACCTGTCTCTGGATTAACAAACTCCTCAAACAGGCTTCCTGGCACTGCTTCGCGCCCAAGCCCCAGGATCGTCTCTATCCGGTCTTGCGCCACTGGTGGGGGTCGCATCTTGTTGAACTGCGGAGAGCGCGGGCGTCTCAAGTCCTGCATCGGGTCTGGGGCTGAAGACTTGTCATCTCAACAGCAAACAATCTCACAATTGAGATCAACGGGATTGGTGTGATGAACACCCCCTTCAAACCCACATCTCCGACTCCTACCTCCCGTTACTGTCCCCCCTCTTTGCACCCAAGGTCCCACCTTGACCTATCTGACCGATCCTTCTTGGCCCATGGCGCCCATGACTCGTTCCTTGGCGACCAAACAGCTAAGACCCCGCGATGCCTTCGTGTGGCGATGACGTCGTTTGGGAGTTTGAAACCTGGTAGCATCCGATCGCTCTGTTCGTAGCGATGCCCTTTGTTACTAATAGCTTCTTGCTCCTAGTAGTATGGCCAGGAGCCCCTAGTAGCGTCCTTGCTCCTAAGGTGTTCATCGGTCAAGATCATGTCAATGCATCCCCGTGCTCGTCTTCAGGTCCTGCATCTGCTGCATTGGAGGATGCTGCTGATCCTGCATTTCCTGTTGATGCTGCAGGTGCTGCTGATAGTGCAACTGCTGTTGGGGCTGCGTCTCCTGCTGGGGTATCTGCTGCGGCACATGCTGTGGAAACATCTGCTGCGGTTGCTGGTCGGGCATGTGGGGCTTATGTGCCTGTGGTGTCCGTGGCATTTGCTCGTGCAACATCTGCGGCTGTGGACTCTGCTGTGCCGCTTGCTGTGGAAACATCTGCTGCGGTTGCAGGTCGGGCATATGTGCTGGTGGTGTCTGTGGCGTCTGCGGCATTTGCTCGTGCAGCATGCGCGGCTGTGGACTCTGCTGCGCCGCGTACTGTTGAAACATCTGCTGCGGTTGCTGGTCGGGCATATGTGCTCGTGGTGTCTGTGGCATTTGCTCGTGCAGCATTTGCGGCTGTGGAATCTGCTGCGCCGCTTGCTGTTGAAACATCATATGCGGTTGCTGGTCGGGCATATGCGCTGGTGGTGTTTGTGGCACTTGCTCGTGCAGCAA